GTAGGTACAGGTCAGGTTGTAGGTAGGTTCAGGTCAGGTTGTAGGTAGGTTCAGGTCAGGTTGTAGGTAGGTTCAGGTCAGGTTGTAGGTAGGTTCAGGTCAGGTTGTATGTAGCTACCTGTCAAGGTGTAGGTAGTCATTAAGTTTTAGATGATTGCCAGTCAGCTTGGATGTTGTAAGTTCTGTTGTAGGTTGTTAGGAGTCAAGTTGTACATAGTTATTGGCCAGTTCAGAGGTAATTATTGGTCATTTTTCAGGTAGTTAGTGGTCAGGTTGTAGGTGGTTAGCAGCCAGGTTGAAGATAGTTACCTGTCAGGCTTTAGGTAGTTGGCAGTGAGTTTGTGATTAGTTTGCAGTCAGGTTGGAGGTAGTTGGTGATGAGACTGTGGTTAATTAGCAGTCAGGTAGTGGTTAATTAGCAGTCAGGTAGTGGTTAGTTAGTGGTCAAGTTGGAGGTAGTTAGTGGTCAGGTTGGAGGTAGTTAGTGGTCAGGTTGGGGGTAGTTAGTGGTCAGGTTGGAGGTAGTTGTACTAATCAGAGACACTGATGAGTTTAAACACATGCAGAGACACTGACTCTGACTGTGTGTCCTTCTGTGTGTTTCAGGTCGGAGAGGGTTAACCTGGAGGATACCAACCTGGTAAAAACACTCTTCGTGTTAATGTTGATGGTTTAAACTCTGATCAATAATCTGATCAGCCCTGATCAGCTCTGTGTCTCTGATCATCAGGACATTGATGAGCTCCTCCAGCAGGTCTGTGACGCTGACTCTGTCCAGGACATCCAGCAGTTCGGTTCCGTTCTGGTTGAGCGTCTGCGGTTGGCACGGCAACGACGAAACGACATCACAGCTCAGGAGATGAAGGCAGTGATGGAGGAGAGAGATGGATCAGTGGCCAAGGTGAGTCTGCTCACCTGTCAGCCTGACGGACGTGTTGTCAGTGTAACCAGTAATCACACTGGGAACAGAGCAGCTGCACACATTCATATGGTTTCTGAAAATACATCAACTGTTGACTCCAGAACAAGAACTATTGAGGAAGAAAACTCGATCAAGTTAGCTGCTGTTTTTACATGAGTTGACATGTTGAGCTGCGATACACAAACTGCTCTTTTGTAAAGTTTATACTCCACTTTTTGTCCAGACAAAAAAATGAACAAAATGCAGAAGCAACAATAGCTGCTTTGGCTTCAGTTAGTCTGAAGCTGATTACTTTAAATGAATATCATTATTATAAACCGTAAGTTGGACCTAGAGGTCTACATTAGGTTGGACCAGTTCAGGGCTGTGAAAACAGGAGGGTGTTCCTCCCAACACCACAAAAAAATGGATTAATGCTTATGACAGTGTCACATTTTGTTTTTTCTTTACGGTTTTAAACAGATTCTATAGCCCAACATTGAACAGCTTATTGTAACTTTTCAGCATCTGATCAGAGCAGCAGTCTGATGATGTTTTCTCTTGTTCCTGCAGACTTGTGTGTCAACTACAGACTTGTGTGTTTCAGACTTGTGTGTTGCTTCCAGACTTGTGTGTCGCTTCCAGACTTGTGTGTTGGTTCCAGACTTGTGTGTCAGTTACAGAGTTGTGTGTCGCTTCCAGACTTGTGTGTCAGTTCAGGACTTGTGTGTCGATGACTGTCCTCAGCCTGAGCTGCTGAAGGTGTTTTCAATCCTCCGTGAGCTTTAGCTGCCGCCCCTCTTCAGTTTTCTCGCCTCAACACGCCGTCACCGTCTCTAAGTGGTCTGTTTAACCCGGCTGGTGCGGCACAGCGCGGCAGCGGCGTGGCGTGGAGCCGCGGCCGGGTTGCGGCGGCTCCGGCAGCCCCAACCTCAAATATTTGCGGTTTGAATCTGAACATGAATATTTTGAATGGTGTGAAAACAAAGCGGTGCGGAGACAAATATTGACACCCAGATTGAGTCGACCTGACGAGCTGACATGATGTTTGCTGAACACCTGCTGTTTACTCATCTGTTTGTATGCGCCGTGTGTGTGCGTGCGTGCGTGCGTGTGTGGGTGTGCATGTGTGTGTTGGCTGCCGGCTCGTGTGTTATTTGAATCTGCTTATGGAGACACACATTCAGAGAAGACGTTCAGGTGAAGCGGCTGCAGGTGTTTCTGAGCAGAGAACAGCTTCCTCAGCTCACCTGGATGACATCATCAAGGAGTGACAGAAGCATCACTGATGATCAAATCGATCATCAGTGATGCTTCTGTCACTCCTTGATGATGTCAGTGATGATCAATTTTATTGGTGAATGATTCTCAGCCTTAGAGACACGTCAGGAGGAGAACTGGTTTAGTACTGGTTAATATCTGGTTGAGGTTGGCTCAGGGCGGTTGAGGACTGGTTAAGGACTGGTTTGTGATTAATTAAGGACTGGTTTAGGACCAGTTATAGAGTGGTTTAAGACTGGTTTAGGACCAGTTATGGAGAGGTTAAAGACTGGTTTAGGACCAGTTATAAACTGGTGGAGAACACAGATTTATTCAGTACTGGTTAAGCCTAGTTAAGAAGTGGATAAGGACTGGTTAAAGACTGTCTTAGGACTGGATAAGTATTGGTTTAGGAGAGATGAGTGACTGTTTAAGGGGTGGTTAAGTACTGGTTTAGGACTGTTCAAGCAATGTTTTGGACAGGTAACAGACTGGTTAAGCAACACGTGGTTAGGGATTGCTTCATGACTGGTAAACAACTGGTTTAGGACAAATTAGGAACTAGTCATAGACTGGTAAAGGACTTGTTTAGGACTGGTTAAAGGCTGATTTAGGATTGTATAAGGGCAGGTTCGGGGCTAAATAAGGTTAAAGATTGGTTTAGGACTGGTAGAGTGATTTACAACTGGGTAAGGACTAGTTTGTGACTGATTAAGGCATGATTTTGGACTGGTTAGGAACTTTTTCAGGATTGCTTTGGGACTAGTTAAGGAATACTAATAACAGATTAAGGATGTGTTAAGACAGGGATAGGTTTATCACTGGTTAAGGACTAGTTTAAGACTGGGTAAAGACTGGTTTAGGGTAGGTTAAGGGTAGGTTAAGGATTGGATAAGGTTGTTTTAGGACTGGTTAAGGACTTGTTAAGCAAGGGGCAGTTGTGGATTAGTGTTGGATTAATGTTTAAGGACTGGTGAAGGATTTGTTTAGGACTGGTTAAAAGATGATTTAGGATTGGTTTAGGGCAAGTTAAGGACTGGATTAGGACTGGCTATGGGGTGGTTAGGGATTGGTTTAGGACTGGTTAAGTGTGCTGGAAATAGGGGCCAATAAAAATGAAATGTTTTATGTGGAAGTTCAGTTGAGTCAGGTGATAAACTGGATATTTATCAGGATGAATAAAAATAAAATACAGCAACTGGAAATGAACTTAGAATCAGTAACAACCTACAAGCTACACAAATGATGATTAATAATAAAAGTAGAATTTATACTCCTCTAATAAAATATAAGTGAACTAAATGGACATGAAGTCATTTCTTAGCAGTTTTAATCCAGTTTGTTTATGCTCATCAAGTGAACATTTATTCAGTTTTCTATAATTTAACTATTTGAGCATTTCTGTTGCAGCTGCTGTTCATGTTGCTACTAAACTGTAATATTTCCAGCTTCATTCCTGAAAACATTCACATTCTTTATTCTCTGATAGTCTATCAGTCAGACCTGACCCATAGAGCTGCTCTGTTCTGTGCGGTTTTTCCTTCAGGTTTTAATCTTTGCTAAAAATCTGTATGAATGTCAGTAAATGATCAATAAGTGCAGCTGATTCACCAGCTGATTAAAAAGTTTAAAGTTTGAAGAAGAAAATCCAGATTTCCGTCTTTCCCCGTCTCTCCTCTGGAGGCTGATTATTATCGAAGTGCAGTTCACAGAGTTTATTACCAAAACCTGCAGAGTGCTGGATTTATTACCCACAATTCATCTGGATTCATATACCGCTCTCTGTGGGAGGATCGGGGGGGAGAGAGTGAGACGAGTAGAAATGAGAAGAGATGAGAAGTCTGACTGATGGGGGGATGACAGGGAGAGAGGGAGCGGGGCGATCGAGGGGGGAGGCGGGGGGGAGGTGCTCCCAGCATGCAGTGCGGCGGGTGGCGGGCTCAGAAGCTCCGCCTCCCCCTCATGTGTCTCACAGATCAGAAACCTTCATCTGTTCCCTCGCTGTGACTGACGAACCGCTGTCACCATGGTAACGGACCTGCAGCAGCACGGCTGAACGCCGGTATCCACGGCAACCGTCGTCAGGGGAGCCAAGGAGGGAGAACGAAGCAATGAGGTGGTTCTTCAAAAGTATAGAAGCTGAAACTTTGTTAGATGAAGCAGCAACACCTGCACAGGTGGAGCGCTGTCCTCCAACATAACGCAGTACTCTGTGTACTACTCTGCGTGCTACTTTGTGTACCAGAGACTCAGCAGCCAATGAGAGCAAAGCTGAAATGTAAGAATTGTCAAGCCTCTGTTTCACCTGTAATGGAGTAACAGTGTAATTTAATTTCGCTCCGTCCTCTAAAAACCTGCCTGTTATCCAAAATGACTCAATCTATCAACCAGAAACTGTAAAAACAACTTTTTAAAATTAACTAAAGTGAAGCGCCAAATGGTGATACTTCATCAAAATGGTTTTATTCTACATGTCTCATTTTTTAAAATCGCTAAAAAGAACATCCCTTCCAACCAGATTATGTAAAACAGTAAATATTCTTCACTCTCAGCTCCACTGATTCTCAACGACTAACTCAGCTGTAACCAGCATTTAAAACATTTCCAGGTGAACTGCAGGCAGTGTTTCCACACAGCAGGGAAGAGACGACCAGAGAGACTAAGAAGAAAACTCTAGTTTTGAACGTTTGTTTTTTGTCTGGTTTTGGACCTGGATTTAGACTGGCTTACCGGTTTGGTATTTGGTTTTTACTAAGCTTGGACATGCTTTTGAACTCGTTTTAAAAGACGTTTTAGGCTAAATGAAAACTGGGTTTGTTTTACTTTTGACTGGTTTTGGACTGGTTAGGTTTATAACTGGTTTTGGATGGGTTTTAGACTGGTTTTGGGCTACTTTGTTCATAAGGGGTGGAGCTTAAAACCTCCCTATGATGACATCACAGAGGTTCAAACACCTTTACATACGGTCTGTGTTCTGAACCTTCTAACACTCTTGACATGTCGTGATGCAGATGTACTTGTAGATATGAAGCAAATCTTTACACTGTTCACACTTTCACCTTTCTCGTGACTCCGCCCCCGCCGGCCTCACACCTTACCTGCCCCCGCTGCTGTCACCCCCCCTCTGGCTCCATTAACCTCACAAAACCTACCTTCATACCTCCGTCCCTGCAGCATCACCTGGCCCTCCGCCGCTAACCCCCGGCAATATCTCCGTCTTTTAACACCCCGCCCCTCTGCGTTAACACCACCCCTCCACGGTAACACCTTAATCCCGCCCTCGCTCCGCCGCCGCACCGTGCTGAAATATGTTTCAAATGCCGTCGTAATCCTCGGAGGGAAAGAAGAAGAGAGAGAGCACTCCACGCTGGAGGATTCCTCTCCTCCCCCCCGCCGCTCGCCAATCCCTTGCTCCCTCTCCTCATCTCTCAGGGATTATCTCCCCCTGCAGCCGGGGCTTCTGGGAAATATTAGAAAAGAGGGGGAGGGCCGTCCCTGAGCACGCTCAGTCCCTGCCTACCTGTCTCCACCGCTCTCTCTCTCCGGCCGGCAGCTGGAGCTTCTTATTGAGTTAATATCAGGTAATTACAGGTTATTACACATTATTAAAGCTCCCCTGCACCCGGCACTCACTCCGGCAGGAAAGTTGTCGGTTTGATTCCTGCAGGCAGGAGGCTCTTTAAAGGAACATCTCACTTTTGGAGACTCCTGAGCTCATTTGGGGAGAGTCACCTGTCGCCGACAGCCGAGCATCAACGTTTAATCTGATGTTACTGAAACAGCAATAAAAACATATACAATGATGAATTAAAGTGAAGAAGAAGACGAATGTTGTCCCCTGTTTAGTTTATATAACTTTCAGTTCTTATGTTGCACATCAAAGCATCATAATCATCATGACGTCTGAGCTGCACGTCTGTAAATACATTCATTAATCCAAATTTGCAGTGAAGCTCAGTGTGAATACTGTACACCGTCTAATTGCTGGAGTTTGAGGCAGTTATACATAGTTGATGCCTAAAAGAGTTGATCTGTCTATTTGCCGGAGTTTAAGGCTGCAAGTTGAAACTGTGGATCTGATCTGAAAGAGTGGATTGGTCTAGTTGCTGCAAGGCTGTGACTAGTTACGAAAACTGCAGGGAGAGTTCAGCTTAGGTGCTCTGACCCGGAACATCTTACTGTTCACTTTGAACCTCCTTTATGTGGTGAATTTACTGTCTAGTCAAGACGCTTGTCAAGTGATCACACAGCACCTGATCTTAGCTGACGAACAAACAAACAATAAGAAAAGCAGGAGTTCGGTGTGAGTGCAGATCTGCTGCACTTTACACACAGTAACACACACACCGGGTAAGACACACACACACAGTAACACACACACCGGGTAAGACACACACACACAGTAACACATACATAGCAACACACACACGGTAACACACACAGCAACACACAATAACTAACACATGAACATACCAACAGTCACACTTCAACAGTCACACACACGTTACCACATAGACATTATAACACAAACGTTCACACACTAACGCATGTATACACACAAATTATCATAAATACATGTGCGTATACAAACACACACACACACACACACACTGTCATGCCTGTGCTGATCAAACCGTTCGGATCAATAACGACTGATCGTCTCTGTGTGCAGTGTAAACGCCTGGAACAGGACCTGCTTCAGGAGAGAGAGCAGTGGGCGAGCGAGGTAAACACACACACACTCTGTCTCTCTATCTCCTTTCTGCATGTTGACTGCTGTCTCTGATGAGTGCCGAGGATGTCTGCCGTCGTCATGGCAACGCGGCGGCGTCTGTTGACAACGCGTTGTTCAGACAGCGGGTGTGTCCATTTTACAAGTACATGTTTTAGGTCTAAACTGCTGTAGGGTAGTTAGCATGTTTTTGCACTGTGGGGACGTTTTTACACTGTGGGGACGTTTTTACACTGTGGGGACGTTTTTGTACCACGAGGATGTTTCTACATTGTGGAGACACTTCTACACTCTGGACATTTTTGCACTGTTTGGACATTTTTGTACCTTGGGGACATTTCTAAACTGTGGGGACATTTTTGCTTTATGGGGACATTTGTACACAGTGGGGACGTTTCTACGCTGCAAGGATGTTCCTGAGTGAGTTTGTGCGTCACCTCTCTGGGATATTTCTACACTGTGAAGACATTTCTGTTGCGTTGGGACATTTTTGCTCCGTGAAGACATTTTTACACTGTGGGGACACTATCGGGCCAAAGTGACATTTTTTGATGAAGTACCAAAGGATCAATTAATCAGAACAATATTAAGTACATTAATTGTTAAGTGGCAGTGCGAAAACATAATTAAACTTAATTATTTTGCTTCTTTGCTGTAATCCAGTTAATTTTTCCATTGTTTTCTTATATCTGTTTTTTAGCTTATTTTGTTTCATCTGTCTGTTATTGATTTATTTATTGAGATATCTGTTCTTTTCTTCATTTCGCTGGATAATGACAAAGTTTTTTCAGTCGTTTGGTTGTTGTGTGTTACTAATGAACACAGTTTCAGCCTGGCGTCAGACCCTCAGTTGAATCAGTAAAACCTGCAGTAGAATCTGCAGCTCCGTCTGTTTTCTGCTGCTGAAATAAATTAAATTTTGTTATTAATGTAACGCTGCTGCGTTTTTCCTCCTGAAGCCTGTTAATTAGGTTGGAGGGCTCCGGGGGGATTAGAGCCTGGAGAGCTTTTTAATTTCACACAGAAACACCAACAGCTGCCGGCAAATCAACGCCAGACAGGCAAAGAGCCGCCGGAAACCCAGAGCTGACACCAGAAACCACAACTTTAAACCAGAACTTTGAACACATTCTTTAAGTCTGAATTTTAAACCAGAACTTTAGACCATAAATTCAAACTAGAACTTTAAACCAGACCAGACCCTTTGAATCAGAACTTTAGACCAGAACTTTAAATAAGAACTTAAAATTGGAACTTTAGACTACATCTTTAAACTAAAACTTCTAACTGGACCTTTAAATAAGAACTTCAAACCACAACTTTAGACCAGAACTTCAAACCTGACCTTTATACCATGCCTTGAAGCCAGACCTCCAAATTTCAACTTCAAGCCAGCTCTTTAGACCAGAACTATAAACAAGACTTTTAAACCAAACCTTTAAACCAGACTTCTTGACCAGAATCATAAACCAGACTTTTATTCCAGAACTTTTGACGTGAACTATAAACCAGACCTTTAAAGTCGAACCTCAAACCGGAAGAGGAACCACAACTTTAAGCCAGGCCAGAAACCAGACCTTTAAATTAGACCCTTAAGGACCTTTCAATACGGCTGCTAAACTAAACTTTTAGACCAGACCAACAGCCAAAACTTAAAACCAGATTTCTAAACCACACAAGAACCCAGAACTTTAAACAGACCTATTAACCAGACAAGAACGCAGAACCATAAACCTGACCAGGAACCACAACTTTAATACAGGCCAGAAACCAGTTCTTTAAACCAGACTTTTAGACTAGAACTTTAAATCAGACCTTTAAAACCACACTTTCAAGGACCTTTCAACAAGACTGTTAAACTAGACCTTTAGACCAGACCTTCAGTTAAAACTTAAAGCCAAATTTCAGAGCCTTTAAACCAAACCAGAAACCAGAACTTTAAACTGTCCAAGAACCCAGAACTTTAGCCAGACCTTTGAACCAAAACTTTAAAGTCGACCTTTAAAACAGAACTTTATACCTAAACTTTAAAAAAAACAAACTAAAAGAACCTTTAAATGGTAACTGAAGTACCTAGTTAGTTACATTTACTAGCTACTCCTGTTGTACCACACTGTGAATGTTGGGGCTAACCTGTTAACTACTCCTCTAACTCCTGCCTCCCCCAACCTCACCTCCACCTCCCATCCTCACCCCTCACCTCCACTCGTCTTTTTAACTCCTCCTCCTTCATTGACCTTCACTCTTCACGTTAAAGGTCGGACGAGGTTCCTTTCATTTACTCCTCCCCCGTCCTCCCCCTGTAATTAAAGGTTCCTCTGGTTCTCTCCTCACCTCCACATCCTGAACCACCTCCTCTCCTCCTCTTTTTAGTTGACCTTAACTCCTCATGTTAAAGGTCAAAGTGCCTTCCTTTCATTTACTCCCCCATCTTCCTCCCCTCTGCCTGTCTCACCCCCATGTCCACCTCCTCTATGGTAATTAAAGATTCCTCTGATTTTGTCCTCCCCCTCTCTCATTGATCTGATCTCCTCATGGTAAAGGTCCGGGCAGGGTAGTTTTATTACCTCCTCCCGCTCGATCTCCCCCTCTTTCGTTGACCTTAACTCCTCATGTTAAAGGTCAGCTCGGCGTCGCTCCTGCCTGCTGATCACCTCATTTGGAAATTATTCTGATTAATAAGTCGGGCGGCTCGTTTGAAGCGTCTCCTCCGGCCCGGCTGGAGAAGACACATATTGACTCTCTGGGTTTGGTTTCTCTTTTGATGTCTCACTTTAAACTCTCAGACCTTGAAGGCTTCAATTAGCATAGAGGAGGAGGAGGTCAGGATCAGGCCTGCATTATTAGGTGTTTTTTCAACGGACGCAATTCTGCACCTGGAACTGAGTTTCTCTCTGATTTTTTTTAGTAGCATCAGCAGAAATTAAAGGAATCTGTGTTTTTTGTAGGCTTAATTGGGATCACCCATTTTGGATGTCCTGCAGGGAGAGAATCTCATTAAAACAGCTAATATAGATTTGACTGTTATCTGCATAAAGTTGGATTTACACTCTGACAAGACATCTTAAAGTTAGCATGTAGGTGGAAAACATAACTGGGCCAAGCATGGAACCCTAAGGAACCCCACAGAGCAAACCAAAATACAAGGTGCCATAAAAAAGTTCACAGACTGCTCCTATAACAATCAAAAACTGTAAGTAAGTAGTATACTCGTGCAGCAATACTCTGCTCCCAGTGCTCCTGCAACATTTTAAACAAGGTCCGTTTGCATTTAATCTCCTAAACCGTGTGAAAACAGCAACACTAACTGGAATTTTGAGAATCTCATTAAAATAGTTAATATAGATCCAGCTGTTGTCCACGTAAAGTTGGATCTACTCTCTGAAAAGACGTCTTTGAAATGGCATGTAGACTAAAAACAGAACAGAAATGAGCATCAAACCCTGAGGAACCCCACAGAGCAAACCAAAATACAAGTTACCTAAAGAGTTCACAGACTGCTCCTTTGTCGGGCCATCGTCACCGTCAAAGTAATGTACTCGTGCAGCAATACTTGGCTCCCAGTGCTCCTGCAACACTTTAACTGGGATTTTGAGAATCTCATTAGTTTGCTGCAGACTCTAAAGATTGAATGGCTCCAGCAGAGGACACATTTTTATTATTGGCCCTTGAAAATGACAAAAAAAGAAAAAAAAAAACGTAACAACGGGTGGCGTTGGTACCCCCAAGTGGTTCCTACAGGTGTATATATATATATGGATGGATCCATATTTTCTACTAAAATACAGTCTTTGGTCACATTTCACCAACTTTTCAGGCTCTGTCATCAGTAGAATTTGATGTGTGGCAAAGATGAAAAGACATGGTTCTAGTTTTTGCTGCTTTAAAAAAATGGTGATGTGGACTCATTCATAGAAGCACAAAAACGGGTGTTCATAGGGGTCTATATGTTGTTATTAGATGTCCAAAGTTTCAAGCTGCTTTCATGATGTCTTCATGTTAAGGTTTACCAACATATTTGCCTTCATGAATGTTCCCATACATGTACTTAAACACTGAACAGAGAAACTGGTGATGATTCAACACACATCACAATAAATCTTATTTCAAGTGTCCAGCTTGCCACATACCAAATTCTACTGATGTTAAAGGCTTCAAAATTTGGTGAAATGTCGACCAAAGACTGTACAATACAACCCTTGTTTAAAAATGTTGTATCCTCAGCTGGAGCATTCAATCATTTAGTTCTGCTGGAAACTATTCTGTCTGAATTCTCAGCAAATTTAATAGCTGTGGGAATTTTATTACTGGAGATACTGAACCCTTAAAATGGCTTTACAAGTAAGATGTTTTTTAGAGTAAAAAATGCAAAAATTCACAAGTCTGAAAACATGAATTTCTCAACATTTGGCCAAATTGTTTTGCAGAGTTTAGTTTTTGGACCAAAGTGAACTCTGAAGAAAATCTGTGACGGCCGCTATCACCCTGTTTACAGTCAGCATCCTCCTGCAGTTTCTCCACCTGCTGCTTCTCTCAGAAACTTTGGTAATCCAAGTCATTATTATCAATTTACAAACCTCAACAAACACAGAAATCCTTCCTCTACACTCTCTTATTCCCACAATGCACCTGGAGTTTCATTGTAATGATGTGCTGTGCTAATAAAGAAGCAAATCCTCATTATGAAGTGTGTTGACACTCGTGTTAGTTAATTAGTCAATTAGTTAATTAATCCTTTATTTAAACAGGAAGGCTCTCTGAGATCCAGAGCTTGATCTCTGTTTCGCTGCAGCCTGGTGCACATCTGCATCATGGAGCTCTGTAGTAATACAGTCAAACACAGACTCCTCCTGGAGCTTCATACCGAACGCAAGCTTCGGTGATCAGAGGCAGACACGAATGTGTGACATCGTGTCTTTTTATGGACCTAAACCTCAGCTGATGTCCTCTCCGTGTCTGAAACGCCGACACTGACAGAAATGTTACTGTCAGAAAAGTTCATTTCTGTCAGGACAGAGACTTATGTACATATACATTTTTTGTGCTGAAAACTCCCTGTGTGGATGTATAACTGTGGCAGTTTTGCTGTCAAAACTATGATAAATCCATAATATTGATGCTCAAAGTTGGTTATTGAGAAAATGAACAAAAAAACAGATGTAGTCTTTAGACTGTGACACCTGGATGAATGAAAAACTGATTTGCTTGCAGTTTTTACCAAAACTCAAATGTGTTTTTCATCCTAAAATGTCATGTGTCTAAAATGTCACACATGCTGATATGAGCCTTGAAATCTTAGCGAAAATGCACTTTCTAAAGTTTTCTCTTGTGAATTATCAGAAAACGTAAAAAGTTAATTTGGTCTGATGAAACCAAAATGGAGCTTTTTGTCCTTGTCATGATGTAAAGCATGCTGGTGGCAGCATCATGGTGTGGGGATGCTTCTCGGCAGCCATGCAAGCCTTGTAAAGGTAGACGATTAAAAAGAAGAGTAACAATGCTCATTTTGATGACTCTTCGTTATAGACATTAAACTGCTGCAGTTTTGCTGTTCATGATACATCCCATAATACTGATGCTCACAGTTGGTTGTAGAAGTAATGACCTAAAAACAGATTTAACCTTTAGACTGAGACACCTGGATGGATGTAGAACTGATCTGGTGTCAGGTTCTACCCGAACTCAGATGTGTTCTCCTTCTAAATGTCATGTGACTATCTGCTGTACTGATGAAGTTCTGAGGCTCAGAAATGATGGAAAAAGTCCATTAAAGTGATCAATCTGGACCCTCCTCTGTGGACTTCAAGAACCTGGAACTCTGAAATGTTCACAGTCTGAAGGTAGAACTTTGCATGAACTCATTAAAGTTATAGGACATAAAGAAACCGCTGATTCTAAGGAGGTCAGAAGGAATTATTCTCAGATTTGGTTGGTCTTATATGGAATGAGCTAATTAGCAGAATGATAATGAGGCGCAGTCAGACCGTCCTACAGACGCTGTGTAGAAAGGTGTGGATATGTGAGACGAGCATAAACACACAGTTAGTTCAACACCCAAATATTCTCTGGTGCGACTACGAGTTTCACATCCTCACACCTGCAGATTCAGAGGTTTTAGTGTGTGACTGACAGCACTTACAGCCAATAGGAGTGGAGCTTTCAGAACATGAACATCCTTTAAACCACCTGTCTGCTGTGTCGAGAATCATTTGTTCTGCTGTAATGGACTTTTTGTTTGAAGATAACGTTGACTGACATGTGTTCAATCCCATCAGGACGAGCTGCTGAGGCTGGAGAGGGAGCGTGACGGAGCTGTGGAGGACAGACGCCGGCTGGAGGCGGAGATTCAGGCGCTACGAGCCAATCACAGGTCAGATTACTGAACGTCAGCAGACCTCTGCAGCTTTGAAAATCCCTCATGCAGTGGTTGAATTCACAACAGGACTAAGGTGAAATGTGTGCCCCAAGGTCTCGCTGTGTGAAGAAGAGAAGCAGGTGATCTTGTTTCTGCTGCATTAAATCATAACTGGGTGTTACAACGGTAAAATTATCAGCTTTTAGATCCAACAGGTAAAAGCATTTTGTTTTTTTTTTTTGCCTCTGTGCCTTTGTTTGATAGTTCAGTGAGAGAGAGACAGGAAAGTAGTGGAGAAGAATGGGGGGAGGACATGTGGGAAAGGGTCATGAGTGGGATTCGAACTCATGACCTCCACATCGGGACTGTAGCCCTGTACATGGGACGAAAGCTCAACCAGGTGAGATATAGCGGCGCCCCTAATAATAAACATTTTAAGAGTTACATGCCCTTGAAGTACCTAGATGTGGGTCCAAGTTTCACACTTTATAATGGACTTTTTCCATCATTTCTGAGCCTCATCAAAAACACATCTGAGTTCTGGTAAAAACTAACAGTTCAGATGTGTTCTTCCTCCTCAGTGTCATGTGACT